TATAATAGTAAGGTATAACTTTATTAAGGATCCAGGCCCAATTTTTAAGTTAAGACTTTATTTTTAAAGAGCAGTTTAAGGTTCACAGTGAAATTAAAAGGAGAATATAGTTTCCATACATCCAGGCTCAATGTTAAGTCAGTCATTTAACTAACATACACCAGAGTGCTCATATATATAGTAGAAGTAGGTTAGCTTGTAAGAGTTAGTAAAAAAATGACTTTCTAAGGCTCATGGTAACTGCCCTATTAATGATGTGTCTTTATTACTTATTATTTACAGAACTGTGCAGATAAAGTGCATTAAATTAAACTGAGTGAATATTTGGTTACTTATTATAATTTGAATTTAGATGAAGTCTTAAACCTTTCTCCTGGTGGTATTAGAATAATTTGACTAAAGCATCAGGTGATATGATGATATAGTAAGGTATCTATAATAATAAAAGCATAATTGTTAATTACACTGGACAGCCAATATCCTTCTGGACGTTCTTTCAGACAAAGCCACAGTGGCTGCAAGGGCCGAGGGCAGGCAGCTGCTGTGGCCTGCAGCGGCAGCAGCGGTGGGGTGATGGGTGTGGTGCCTTCCTCTAATCAGCCAGTCGCCTCCGGCAGAGGGAGGCCAGCCATCACGAGGACATCCCCTGAGGGCTCCTGGACTGTGAGAGGGGGCAGGCCGGGCTGAGGGACCTCCCCCACCCAGTGCACAAATTTTTGTACAGCAGGCCTCTAGTGTTAATATAATGTGAATGTAAATGTTACCATTGTGGTAATTTATTAGTTGTGCTATATTTTCATAATTTTTAAACTGCAACATTTTTCACTAAAATTTGATTGAAATGGAAGGAATGAGAGTAAAAATGATCTAACTTATGTATTCATCACCTTTTTATCACATCAGTGAAAGAAGTTTTAGGGGCAAAATAAGCAGGTTTAGGGAGATTTAGGAAACAACAGGATCCATGGGGGGAGGAAGGCTTGGAGCATAAAGGTGAGGTTTGGATATGCCAAAAGGCATACATTCACAGAGAAGAAAAAGGGTGCCACAGGATAAGGGGAGAGGAAGACATCCATTCCCAGAAGATAGGGAAAAGCCACAGCGGGTGGGGAGGGAGAGGAAACAAACTTTCACAGAGGATAGAGAAATGCCGACAAACGGGAGAAAGAGGAAAACAGATTTTCACAGGAGATAGAGAATTCTACCACCGAAGGGGGAGGAAAAAAAGGGAGGCACACACGGGGTTTGACCTTTGAAGCTGATATAGTGACCAATCAGAAGGGAATATCAAGAAACAAAGAACTGCAGCCTATATAAACTTTAGAAAAAAGGAGCTTAGTGGGTCACCCCTTGGGACTCCCTCCCTACGTGGGAGTCTGTACTTGCTTCCAATAAATTTCCACCCTTTTCATCTACCACCAGTGGTTCTCAACCTTCTGGCCCTTTAAATACAGCTCCTCATGTTGTGACCCAACCATAAAATTATTTTTGTTGCTACTTCATAACTGTAATGTTGCTACTGTTATAAATCATAATGTAAATATCTGATGTGCAGGATGGTCTAGGTGACCCCTGTGAAAGGGTCATTCGACCGCCAAAGGGGTCGCGACCCTCAGGTTGAGAATCACTGATCTACCACCTTTTGTCCATGGCTTCATTCTTCCAATCCTCCTGGACAAGAACCTGGGAAAGAAAGCACCTTGCATCCTGCTTAGGAAGAACGACCTGACTCATCAGTGACTTTTATTCATTTTCATGACACTTACCAACATTTATTGAAGTTCCATGTTTCAAAGTGAATTGCACAGCATTTAGTGGCAACATTGATTGGAATCCAAACCTTTCTGCTTAAAGTAATTGTTTAGGGCTGACACTGATTTTAAAGTAATTTGACTCAGGTTTACAGTACAGCTTCCCTTCTCTTGATTTCTAAGTGATAGCTAAGTCACTTAGCTCACTTTGAGAAGGGCTAGGATGACCCAGCCTCAGGTGTTTTCTGGAATATCCCAAAGAATTGGAGATCTGTTGGGACAAAGATTTTCTACCCCAAAGCCAGTGGTCTTTAAACTGCATTTTGGGCCTGTCTGTAAGCTTGATTAAAAATGTGAATAGAGACCTACTCTATTTATTGAGTCAGAATCTCTGGGGGTGAGGTCCAAGAAACTTTGTTGTAACAAGCCTCCTCAGATAATGTTTATGCTTGTTCAAGTTTGAGAAACACTCAAACCAAGACCAAGGAGGTATAAAGGAGGCAGACGAAAAATAGGTTGATGGTATCTAGATGGGCTAGAAGAGTGAAGAGTATATTGTTACCTTCCACAATCTTCAGTTAGTAGCAAACATTCATTTGCTCCATATTTCCTAGTATTCTTGGAGAGTTCTCTACCATTGTAGTGATAGTTTAAGGGGAGATATAAAATGTGCATTTGGGTGAGGTCAGAAAGGGGAACAAGAGACAAAAATAATGTCTTGTGAATGTTTTGGGGCAAATATAGTATGAGCTGATTATTTAATTCTTGGATAATTTCCAAATACTATAATTTTATAGCATTAACTTGAAAATAACATAGTAGAAGGATTAATTAAAAACTGTTTTTTAAATCATATTAATATAGTGAGACAAATATAAGTTGTTTTTTTACTTGTTTTGAGAGTATTGGCTAAAATAGCAAGCATTTTGATTAATATATGTACCATTTTTCATTATGTCCAAGTGATAAGGGAATATTTATTTTTCTTTGTGCCGAAACTAATAACAGTTGCTGTGTAACAAGAGGAAGCACTTCGTTCATGTATTAAACAAGGCAAAGCAGACAGTAGGAATATAGAGAGCAAAAATAGACATAGCACCACCCTTTAAACACTCCTACAATAGGCTTAGCAAATTATAAATCACGGCTGCCTAATCTAAAAGCATTCCTTTGCTTCTTTCTAAATTTCAGAATTATGAATCAATCCAAAATCAAGGTTTCTTTGTGCTTTTACACTTAATATAGCCTCATATTAGTTACTAATTATGCGATTCAATTCTTTACAGTTAGCTTCTAAAACAGTTTTCTTGGAACTAAAGATTATAGTTGTGGTCTTTTATAGTATCTTTCAAAGAACTATTGAATTTGTCCTGTTTCTGATTTAAAGTACAAAGTGCCTGTGCACCACTTTTTGGATACGATGTAAACTAAATTCCTAGTTGTCAGATTCCATGTCTCTAAAATGTGGTGGAATCAGAGGATCTACTTATATAAACAATATGTTTAGGTTTTGATTTTTATTTTAAAGCATAACATTGCAAATAAGCGAATTCCATGAAACCTTTTGGTAGAACAAAAACATCAGTGGAGATAGCAAGTGGAGAAAAGGTTAAACGGTATTTCCTTTCCTTGTAAATATTTGAAAGCAGTTAATTTTATATGTTCGGAATAGTTGCCCTATATCCACAATAAAAAACATGTCAGTATTTTATGTGAATTCCTTAGAGTTAAATATACAGGCTGTGTTCCTGGCCTGAGGGGCCAGGAATTCCAAACACTAAGGTTGCTAGACATTTTACCTTCAGCTTGGGGTTTAAGAAAAGGAAATGTTAAAGTCCCCAGAAGTGACTAAGAAAAATGGAGATTTCCTTAACAAGATGACTCCATGAAAGGAGACATACACATGCACCTGCATTCATGTGCACGTGCACGCACATGCTACACACATAAAAATTCTCAATTCCACATACGTGTTTTAGGTTTTTGTAAATATTGAAATGAAACTACTTCTCTGTATGCAGAAATTCATCATTATTATTTTAAGTTAAAATGTCAATCTATTTAAAAACAAAATCATAAAGAGTACGTTACTATCATGACAGTCTGAGGCACTTTTGAATCCTAGGTGTCACTCACAATCATCGCGAAAACATGGTCTACACCCCTCCCCGGCATGTATCCTATGCAAATGACTGCAGATGGAAACACTCATCAATAGGTGCTATAGTCTGCAAATAGTTTCCTTGTCGGCTTGGCAACTGTGACTCATGCTGTCGGACAAGTGAAAAGAAAACCGCAGTCAGCAGCTATTCAGCAGCAAATCATTAATTAATTACATTTTAATGAACCTTA